AGAGGGTTGCTGTTTCCTGAATCCAGACTGAGAGCTGGTTTGATGGTAGAGGGGGCTGAAAGCAGCAGCCTCCTATACTACTTTTGAAACTCTAGAAACAGCCAGTCTGACAGCAAAGTGTTCTGTTAGGATAATAAGGTACTGCGAGGTCTTGTAGATATGCGAACGTGCACCCGGTCAAATCCTTGGAATGCCTGATGATTAAGTGCCGGCCATTCTGGCTACCGAGGGAATTTACAGCAGTGATTATTACGGCTGTTTATATTCCCCCACAAGCCGACGCTGACCGAACACTCAGGGAACTGTACAGCGCGATCAGCAGTGAGGAAACCGCACACCCAGAGGCGGCGTTTATCACGACCGGGGACTTTAATAAGGGAAACCTGAAGAAAGTTTCACCAAAACTCCACCAACACATCCATTTCAACACTCGTGGAAGCTTCCCTCCCTCCAGGACATCTACAGGAAGCGGTGCCTGAGGAAAGCGGGGAGGATCGTCAAGGACTCCAGTCACCCTAGCCATAAACTGTTCAGACTACTTCCATCAGGAAGGAGCTTCTGCAGGTCCCGTACCAGCAGACTGAGAGAAGCTTTTTCCATCAGGCCATCAGACTGCTGAACACTTCATAGATACCTCACCTTCACTACTGGAACTTCAACATTATGCACTCCACACTGTATATAAATGCCACTGTTTTGCACATGTCAACTACCAAACTCTGTATATTTTATATATTTTATTTTATTGTTTACTCTATTTAATTTGTAAAATATGTACACACACACACACACACACACACACACACAAAAACATTTAGTATACACATCCAGTAATGCATACACTCTTATATTGTACATATATTTATTACTCCCAGATTTAACCATCCTTATATTTTGCTTGTTTCATGTTATTGTATTTTTGCACACCTCTGTTGCTTCTGAAGCTCGCACACAAGAATTTCACTCACATGTACTGTACCAGTGTACCTGCACATGTGACGTGACAATAAAAGTGATTTGATATGAAATGGCCTGAGTGTTTCCATTGAAAAAAAAAGTTTTGTTTCCCTTTGAACAGTTCAGCCAATCTCCCAGTGTCACCAATATAACCATCCACCCAAAATACTAAATAAGCACACATATCCATGAATAAAGTCATTTCTCCAGTGTTCAAGCCATGATGGTGGCTCCTTCTTCACAGTCACTTAACTGGGGCTAAACATGGAGCATGGCCTCCAAAGCTGCAGCCATCCAGTGAAATAACTAAACATTCGACACACTGAACAGTAAAGTGCCAACTACACTGAACTGAAACGAGTGAACAGTGAATGCAGTCATTAAGCAGGAGCTGCCCCATGCTTTTGGCTGATGGCGTTTCCAAAATTTGTCAAATAAGTGTACTAAAAAACAATAATGTGTGTAAAACAGTCATTGAACTCTAAAATGTGTGTTGGCATGCCATAGTAAATTAAATTAGAAACACACACAGATGGATACATACAGGTGATGCTGTGGTCCGCAGCGCAGCATAGCCACTATAGGCTGGAAGAAGGAGAGGATCATAACCAGGCACCCCAACACTGGATGTGCTCCCTGGAAACCAAAAGCATT